CCACAGCCCGTTGTCAAGGACAACAAAAAAATGCAAGCTGGCTTGGACATTGCTATGGCAATTAGTAAGAGCTATGAAAAATTGTCAGCCACTCACCGGTGACATTTTGGGAGTGAGTGCTTCCTGGGGAGGGAAGCGTGCAGAGAGAAGATAGGAGAGATGACTCACACCTTGTAGGGAGCATCCAAAGGAAAATACTGTACGTAGTGTTTCTTTCCAAGGAAAGCTTTCCACACAGCATTAACACAGGGTTATATCTTAAGCAGTGGCTTTCAAAAACTCTAAAAGCTCAAAACAAAACAAGATTGAAATAAAAATAAGAAGAAAACTGGTTGTTAAAAATGTTATAATCTATATGAAACTGTTTTTTAGCTGATAACAATATCCAGCAGATTATCATATTATGAAAAGATTCATTTATGTATGCTTAGCTAATTATCCTATTAAGTGTAAAGGATTTGTGTATTGATTGCAGATCATATGACACTGAATTGAGTTATTATAGGCAATAAATGCACCTACACTCCAGTGATATATCAGTTTCAGATGTGTTATGAGACAGAAAAATAGGATAAATCAACGGGAAGGTTGATAGGAGATGGAAGATAAAGCTCAGCAAAACACTGTCACAGTGTGTAGGCATCCATTCCTTCTGTCACAATACACACTATTAGAGAGTATTATCATACATGATTTGGCAGTGGCATATCTGTTATTTTTTACACAACAGGTGACGCAGAAATATAGCAGACACTATTGCTAGACCATCAAAGAACGTCAGCAAATTAGGAGTGTAAATTCTACTGCATGTTCGACCCATACCCACAGCCCCTATCCACCCAGATCCATCATTGACCTGTCAACACATGGTATTAACATATAAGCCAAAGTTCTACTGACTGGAAAACAGAAATCCTGTAGGTATAAACAGCTGGGGGCCCCTGTCAACAGCTTTGTAGCCCCAGGATACAGGGATTATACTGTACATAGAGCTTGGAAAGATGAAAGGGACTTTTAGACATCAGTATTCATCATAACCTGACAAGAGTTCTACTGCATTTCAAGCAATATTTATCTGTCATTGATTATTCACATCACATAGTTAGTTGAGCCTAATTGGTGCTGTGTCTTCAACTATTGACCATAATAACCAACTTGACTTACACTAGATATCCAACACAGAATATCACTTTTTCTCAAGATATAACAGCCCAAGATGTTTTCAGTATAACAGTTCAACTCCTGACCAGTACTGACCAGGAAGGCCTGGGCAGACTGGGCCCAGCTGGATACCACTGTGTTCATCAGTAGGTCAATTAAGTCATAATTAGATCTAATAATGGGGTATCAAGTCTGCCCCACCCCCTATCACCAAGCACCACATCCTTCTCAGTGGGGTGTCTATAGAGGGCAAGTTGCAGTCAACTAGAGCAAGTATAACTCTTGAGTCTTGGTTTCCTACAATAACTAATGGAGTACATGAAGATATAGCAATTGGAACAGGGAAATAGCAACACACAGGAAAAGAGCAACATGCTTGTCTGAAACCAGAGATATAACGACCCTACAGGGGGCCTCTATTCTTGATATCAAGGTCACAATAGACAGTCACCAGGTCAGACAGAGTGGCTGACCATGGCATGTTAGCATCTTCGCACAGAGTGGTTTAAATTAGCTGTTGGTAGATAGCCAAGCATCCAGACCCGCCCCTCAGTCTGGCTGGGAATGAGCTGTTTGAAAATATCCAATGTTCCAGACTAGGCACTAGCAGACTCAAACCTGCTTCTAAGTCTTGGCAACAATTCTAAAAGTCATAGGTACAAAAGTTAGGTAATCTATCTATACCTATATCTATGCCTATGCCACATGTTATTCCTATAGGGCTTGAAAGTGGTCATCTGAAATGAAGAGAAACAAGTTTGGGACACAGATTTAAGAAAACTGCCTCTAACAACTGCCAACTCAAGACAAAACACACAAGCATTCAGCACCCTGAAACCTGCCCCAAGCACAGAGGATCAAACACAACCATCTGCTTCAAAGGGAGCCTGTGTCCTATAATTTACACGTAGATGACCAAAAAGTCATCTTTGAAGATACTACAGTCAACAAACACAAAGTCTTCCATGAAGAAAAGCTAGAACATTTGTGCACATGGAGAACAATCACTGCATTTAGTAGAGCCAACAATAGTGTTTGTTAGTTCATTACTAGCATACGATTATAGACCCTGTGATAATTTGGCATGTAGTTTGAGGGGAGGGAAAACTTGCACCACATTGGACAAGGTGACAATAATGTGCTAGCTTTAGCACAGGCACCAATTCACAATTACTTGTCAATCAGCTAGCCTCGATTCAGTATACAGATCAGGAGTTGCCACTTATCTGGTAATCCTTTAATCATATGTAACAATAACACTGCCAAGGTGTGAATACAGAATTGGTCTGTATTGTTCTATTTAGAACAACTGACACTTTGTGGGATTTGTACATAACAGTAGTTATAGTTGTGAATATCAATGACAATTATAGAGGAGCTCTGAGCTTCCTTGGCTTCATAATTTGTCAGTTTACAAGTAGTTAAAAGCAATTAAAAGCAGTTCATACTTTGTCGATATCTGAATATTCTACACGCAATTCTTCAACTAAATTTTGGAAACACAGAAATCATGATAATTAAGACCTAAAGACTAAGTTAGAGTCAGAACTGGCACAAAATTTGGAGTAATGAACAGATACCCCAAACTTACAACTACTGACACCAGGAAATCAGCTACATCCAGTACCTGTCCTCTCAAATTGCCTCAGACATACACAATACTAAACACATGGCTCTTCTGAATAAGTGTTCATTCAACCAACTACAAACACACTATTCAGCTATCGTGTGTTAAAACAACTTGCTAAAAGCACTTGAAAAGGCCTCTTCATTTACACCTCAGCCGACAAAAGACCACTTCCGTGTTCAAGTTTTAGGTTTCACCTGAATAGGAGGTCACAACATCCTGCAGCAGGTGTTAAAATGTCTTCAAAGACCCCATATAGATCGGATAAACTTCAACACACATACATTTCCACTTTTTCCTCTAGAATACTGACAGGAAGTTAGGTCTAATGTTCCATAAAAGGTTATCTCATTTCCTGTATATGCATGTCTGTTGCCCTATGGGAGCCAGTGGGAAAATGCATAGACAGTTTCAATGATACAGAATCAGAGAGAAATTCGCAATAATGAATTAATCCAGAACTTCAAGAACGAAGAATGAGATTTTGATTTCTTGTTACACAAGCTTTCCTCTACCCAAGTGTAATGTGTTTAAAGCTCTCCATATGTACACCAGCTGCCAAAGGGCCTGGGTCAAACATTTTTACCTGACCCTCATCAGAGGTGACTGCTTGACCCTAGATAACACTACATTCTATCTTTATTCCTCCCTAACCTCTGATACCCAAGGCGTCAGATAACACTCAGGCTGTTACCTGCATCTGTGTAAGGTTTTTGAGGTCACATAAGTATTCAGGGAGGTGACAGGGGAAATGGTAACACATGGCTGTAGCTGATGTAAACAGGATTTATATATGTTTAACACCAGATTGAGAGTTTCCTAGCTTGTCAAAATTCCATTCTCCAAACAACAATCTTCTTTCCAGATAACAAAATTTTGGAAGTAAGCTAGTTTCACAGACTGTGAATCACTGCTCTACGATCTTGTCTTATTTTTTACTTACACAACAGTGGCACTGGTATAAAGGAGAGGTGGTACAAGCACTACATTTAGTGTGCAATACTCTTGTTAATGTTTGACTACCATCTCTAAAGCCCCACCCTGACCCAGTTTCCTGGTTCAGCTAACTAAAAACCAAAGACAAACCCTGCCATGTGCAGAGACAGCAATCAAAATTTGATATCATTGGGGAATGTTGCAAAATGATATCTTTTTTCCAAAATGACAGTTCAAGTATAACAACCACCTGTAAAATTGATTTAATGTTTCATATTGGCTGTATAAATATTGGCACTAGAAGGCAGACATGTTGTCGTCTAGAATCCCCTTCAGTTATTTGCTTCTTTCAACCCTACTTGAAAACCAATGTGGAAAAGGTTAAGCTTTCACCCTGAGCCAGCCATTTAACCACATGCAGCTGCACTTGGCAATGAGACAACAACTTCTTACTTTCCATCAAAGAACCATGAAATGTATGGAAACCATTTACAAAATCCCTCCAGAATTTGAGGTAACATATAAGAGGTATTAGCTAGTGGTTCAGACTGCGGATTGGGTATTACTACTAATATGTATGGGTTACAAACACATTTTAATAAAAACGATACTATCTAGGCCTTATGCAGTATCATATTTTTATTGAAAATGAGACAGTCTCTGCTTTATGCCTTGTCTGACTAAAGATTGCAGAACCAAAGCAAAACGTTTGGTGATCTATTATTACAAAAGTCACCAGTAGTAACCTAGAATTGGTCACATACCGGTAGTTTTCATTAATCAACACACACACGTCCTTGATTAACACTGCACTACGTGATTACACACACGGTCATGCCTACTGCTGGTGAAGGCCACCTGAAGAATTTCCAAATGCTGAGAACTGAGCTGAGATATGCACAGGCAGGGATGGAGGATCAGTGTTTACCCTGTCTGTAGTGAGATAAATGTGCTACACCCACACAGGGAACAGGGCTCTAATGAGGTCATCTAAAAGTCAGCGGTTTCAGATGGGTTACATTCCGAGACAGCGTGTGGTAGGGACAAGACCGTAGACAAGAAGGTTATACTGTAATGCGCAATTATCAGATAACCATGGGAAGTGCAAATGGAATCTGCGACTACTGAATAATATTCTGATATTCAGAAAGTGATGACTAACAGAATGGTGGAAGTAGAGAATGGGGTAGCTTCTCCCAATTGCAAAATAAAGCACTTTCACTGTGGCCAAACTGAACTTGGGATGAGACTATATGTTACAAATTTATGACTTTTTTAATGGCTGTTTTGCAGTGATATGAACAAAAGCCGATATTTCTATGGGGTATCTGATTCTGAAAGATTATAAATGGAATGGTTTTTTATGAGACACATTCCAACAATACCTCATTCATTACGTTATCGTGACTGCCAACAACTTCATGGTAGCTCAGTCAAATCACAAAATTTGGGAACTTACACAGTCATAGACAATAAATCCATTACTTTTTTGTCTTGTGAATTGTCTTTCTGTCTGCGGAAATACTTCTTTGTAAACTAATCTCAGTCTAGAGTATAGTTCACATCACTGCTAAAATGAAGACTGACACCTGAATACCTGGAGGACATATATCAAATACAAGACCAACATAAATAATACCATAATGAATAAACAACACTGTCCCTAACCTGTGTATTTGATCTCCCCTACAGGCTTTAAATTTACCCCTTTATTTATATTGACAGTTACAAGCTGGATCAAATTTGGGACATGAAATTGTATATGGGACTGAGGCAGCAGATGCCATCATGACCAAAATGGGGACACATTCATACAACTGCCAGCAGGGCTTATGAAATGCATGACAGGATGGAATGGATAGAGAGTTTTCCAACTATCTTCTCCCTGTTTCTGGGAAGGTGATCCTCACACAGAAGACCATCACAGCCTATTTTCTGCTCTGTTTGCCAAGTCAAGTTGATAGATAGTGGACTGAAACCTGAGCCCCTCTGGAGGCAAAACAAAATCGCAAGGCCAACCAACTGTCTGTCATGCAGCTGAGTCCCAACCACACCACTACCGTGATACCTACATTGTCCTCAGTATTGTAGCTGGCTCGCTGGCGGAGGAGGGTGGCAGTTTCACGACTGGCAAAGGTGGCAGCTCTGCTGATCTGTGCCGGCGGATCCTGTGATGTGAGTAGATTCTCCATAGTCATGGGGTAGGGGTCTCCTATCTGGTACGGTCCCTTCTTCTTTTCTTGGGGCGCACGCAGCTACACTTGCCGCCCATTTTTTCAAACGTTTTCTCCTCAGAAACACTCAAGCAAAATCCAGACGAATTCCTTGTTGCCGTTCCTACATATGGTTAGCGGGGGAAGGAGCTAGGCATGTGTACCTAGCCGGGGATGCAGCTCAGCTAGAGGCAGCCATCTTTCTTGGAGCTGGGGAGGGCGGGGAATGAGAACACACAACACACACGCACTCAGGCATGCCTGTGTGACGTCCCCAGGGTCTGATTGGTCTGACTGTCCCTGACAACCACTTATCATGGAGGGATGGCCCAACCCATTAATGTGTAAACAGTGGCAGATCAGGAGCTACAACAACAACAAACAGGCCCTCCACTGTCCCTCACTAGGGAGCAGCATTCATAGGGACAGAGAATGCCTGAGAAGACCAGGCAAATGTTTGGTTGGCCCACATCGTGGTACCGCCTTTCTGATGTTTAGTATTGGGGCTTGGAAGACACCAAATTTGGGGTCAAATGGGGCATATCATATAATGCAAATTTTATACATCACATTTTTTTCCATCCCTTAAAAAGCTAACGTCTTTTATCTTTATGACTCAGACAAAAAGGACATTTCCTTTTAAGATAATAGTGGCAATTCTAGAGGAAACTTTACAGTGCTCTTTATGGGAAGAGGACGATTTTCCCTCACCTGTGAAAATAAATGGTTTGTCCCATATTGAGTAATCCCTATATTTGCCCTTAGTAATCACCAGGCACAGACCACTCAATTATAGGGGAACCTCTTGAAACAGTGGGAGGGAGACAGTTGTCAACCTAAACCGTTGCGGGAGGTCCAGTGCTAATTCTCCCTGCTTGGTGCCAATACCGTACATCGTGAAACTTTCATGGTAGTTTTATGTTAGGTAGGAGTAAAAGTAAGGTTTTCACTGTCTTAAAATTTGTTGGGCAGTAGTCATGCAAGAAAAAATGTCCACAGATTTGCAGTGAAGTCATCACAAAAAAATTATAAAAGATAAAACTAACACAAAAGTTTCATAATTTACAGTATGCTACTGGGTTTACCCCTCAGTTTGTCTCCATGAATTACTAGTAAATTTAATACTGTAGCCATATTTTGCTTGCTATTCAAAGATATAACGTTAAGCATGCTATATACCTCTATTGCCACTGCAAGCTTTGATGATATCTAAATGCATGCTACAAGGTTTGTTTGTTTGTCCTTTGGAGAAAGTCTATGTACATTTTGAATAATGTATTGGTCTCTGTGGATGGGTTTCCTTGTATGTTTGCTGTTACAATACACAGATACCTCAGTCCTAAAGGGTCCACAAGATCATGCCTAACCACAGTACAGTTGTACAAATAAACATGCACCATATGTGAAAACACCTCTGTCTACTATACCTATATACAGCCAAGCCAAGAAGAAGAAGAAGACTATACCTATCCACAAGCATCTGCTTGAACATTTTAACACTTAATCTACACAGTTATTTCCAACCTCATACAGTGATACAGTGATGTGCACATGTCCTACTGTAACAAATGTATCTGTTTTGACACAGTAATGCTATCTAGTTATCCATCTTCCCTGGTAAACTCAACTTACTTGTCAGTTTGCTGATACTGATAGTACAAGTTGGATACTTCTGCCCACAGACAAGACAAAATCACTGATATTCACATGGTTCGTTCATGATAAGAGGCAGTGCTATATATACACACAAAAAACAGATGGAACAGATGGTGTATATAATTTCCAATGATATATTTTGTGTATGTTATCCTAATCCATACAAGATCCAGAGACCAAAATGCTGCATGTTAATGAGACCTCTTTGAGAATATCAATTCTGGACCATGATCTACAAGCCAGCCTGATTTATCCGCTATGAGGTCATCAAGAATCTAGACTATTTCTATCACCACTTGGGGAAAATGGGCCATGGGGGATTCTCTTGTCAGTGTATTGGTCCCAAATCTAGGTTGGCATATGACAGATATAAACTACATACATGCCACAAGGCTTTCCTGTCAGGTCACTAACTGCTGAACTTACATATGTAAGCATTCTGTAGTCATAACTGTTCCGACAGCTTATGAAGGACAAGAAAATAACTTTTGAGGGGCATAATAAAAAGACATGGTTTCCACCCTACTGGTACTGTGTTGTGAACATGCTGAGTTTGAAACAGGCATTGTGGAGGGGAAATCCCCACAGACACATGACAGATGTGACTATAGCCTGGAGGGAGGGAAGTGTGGGCAGGTGTCAGCAGGTGCCACTTCAGCACTACTGGGTCATTAGTGGGTGGAGGTGCTATTACTGTAAAATGTACATGTCGCCCTGAAAGGCACAAACTAACAGCAGTACAGTGGGCAACATTCCTAGGGTTTGTGGATGGTCTTCAGGTTCTTCTACTTGTGCTTAAATGGCAACAGCTTGGGAATAAAGTTAAGCCTCTTTGACTTTGAACCATACAGTTTAAAGTCAAAATCTTACTTTGTTGGTACATTTGCATATTCACATATACATGTATACAGAACTTTCAAAATATCAAATCAAGCCAAACTACTGATCTGTCATACATTGCAAAAGTTAAACTGATTCTGGATGAAGCCCAAGTCAAGCATACCTTTGTTCTAAATTATTCATGTACATTCAGGAAACAAACAACAATTTTCATCTCCCGACAGACCATTTATGCACCATAATTGGTCTAGAAACAGATGGGGGTGCTTCAGAAAGCCTATATTCATGCGATGGTAGAGTATACAATATGACAGCTCCAATGATATGCATTCAAATCCTGTAATTATGTGCCTTTCTTTGACATGACTGTTGTTGTGTGGATGTGTCAGTAATTGTGTAAAGCAAGAATCCCTTTCAAGTTTCAGCAGATGTGAGTGCATGACCTATGACCTTACATTCCAGGACCAAAGAAATGCCCCTGTGCACTCTGACCTGACCTGACACAAAATGTATGTGTGACCTTTGATGTGACTTCTCCATATAATCATATTTATGTGACCTCTGACCTGAAAGTGGAGGATGATGGTCCAAATGAGGCCGAGGGTCAGCTTGGGGTTGCCATCTGCGATGTCGATGTTCCTGATGTTCACCAGTTTGATCTACAAAGTATGAATCTCCAGTCAGATTCTTAACACCTAACATCAAATGTAAAAAGCTCTATCTAAAAGGCCTTTGATTCCTTGAAATCATACTTTATGAAGTCTTTCTTCACATCTGGAAACTTGACAGCATTATATACGGCTATAAAATCTGCCGGAAAGGAACAAATTTCATAAACTTCACTGCAAAACAAAAGTAAAAAGATTATACATTAGTCAGCCAAAATATGATTGTGATGTGATAGATGGATGTTTTCAGGAGTTTTTTTATTTGTATAAGACATGGTTACTCACATGCTTATACTTGAGGAAGTCCAGTGCTATTTGACAGTTCTGTAGTCGGTGGAAACGCATGTGGCCTTTTTCTCTGGGCTAGGAGGGAAAAATCAAGTGTTAAAATTACAAATTACAGTCGTTCCATTATAATATATCCAGAGTGGGCAATCAACAACATCCTCTTTCATTCCATCTTACAAGCTACATACACATGTACATTGTCATGCACTGCAATCTACTATATATAAAAGCTGCATTTTTCTTTTCATGAAAAACGCTCCCCTTGACATCAGAGATAGAGATAAAAGACAATCACATCACTTCAGCAGTACATTGTTATTAAATGTCGCCTTGTAAATACTAAATACACACTAAATCTGCTACATGCAAGAAGCTACAAAATCTTATTAGTCTGGAGGCTCTGAACTTTGTTCACAAGAGTAAAGCTACAACAGCGCCCCCTACCAGAGTCTCTCCTGACAGCACCTCCAGGAGAGAGATGAGGTTGTGGCCATCCCGCAGGTCCATGTACAAGTCTTCCACATGCCTCCGCACCTACACAAACAAATGTACAAACCATCAGTTAGTACAGGTCTACTTAAGTCCTTTTCCAAGACATGAAAACAGGACATCCAACCGACAATCCAACAAAAAATTTGGCCTACAGAATGAACTCATATTTGCAGCACACTTCACTTTCAGACCAATACTAAAATCTAAAGCTATACTATACTATAGCATAGTTGCAAAATAACAGCACTATAACTGCAAAAGCTTATCATTGCAGGTCTGAGTCATTACACACAAAAATAGCATTTAAACTACATTGCACAATAGAGCAGTGTTGTATGCATTTCTAGCACACATTTTTAAGCCATTCACAATAATCTGCAGTTTTTAAAAGACATACAAAGACAAGTAAAACAATAAGACAATGTCTGTTGTAAGCAAAGAAAGTATGAAAGTAAAAGTGCTTGACCGCGAGACGAGGGGAGGCTCGCGGCCAGGTTCGTCTGACGAACAAATCGCCGGAGCGAATGGAGGCGCCACGCCTCTGATGGGGGCAACATGGCGGGGCATTACAGGGTTAGACAGAGAAGAGAAGAAAGTAAGGACAGGAGAAGGAATAGAAGTACAGAGAAGTAGAGAGAATAGCAGAAAAGATGTCTGAATTGGTGCAGTTAAAGAAAATACTGTACCTTCTGTCAGAAAGTCAAATGAAACAAATTAAACTATACAAATAACATACTTTGGGTGTTCAAGATGTTTTTTTCGTAAATGATTACAAACATTTTTGTAGGATTGCAGTGATGTTTTGATTTTAGAAAACAAAATGTATTTTTGGTAGTCAAAATCTTAACACATTGTACCTTGTTTTGATTCTGAGTTATAGAACAAAGACATCTTTTCTACATAAAAAGTAAAAAGATGGACTGAGACAAAATGAAAGTAAAAGATCCACAGAAAAGGAAGCAGTAGGGAGAGAACCTACACGTACGTGTATATGTACTTATACCAGAGGCAATACCACTGCTTTCCTTATAATAATAAATGGTTTTTATTGTCCAAACAGTACCCGTGCAGTCGCAGCCTTTATACGGCTGAATTGATGCAGGGTATCACAATAATCAATACAAATCACAACAATTACAACAATCAAATAATACACATGATACACATGTTTGTTCCACAATTATTTTTGTGGAACTGTCGCAAGGGTCTGTGATCATATCATCTTCAGACTTACAACAAGAACCTTGTAAGTGTTACTTTGATAGAAATTTTACTGGAAAGCAGTGGTTGCCCCTGGTAACCAAGATAGAAGAGGTAATTTAAAAGGTAAAGGTGACAAAAAAGGTGGTTATTGAGAAATAACATACCTCTCTTCTCCAGTGCTGCATCAGAGGGAGTAACAGAGAAGGGAGTTAATCAGGTTAATCAGACTGGAATCATTGTTAATCATGACAGAGATTCATCATTCATATAGAAAATTGGATGAGTCAATTGTTATCAAAGTTTGAAGGACAGAATTGTAGAGAGATATTTAGAAGAAATAGCATCACTAACATCAATTCCAATTCCTGTCACAGCACTAGCCTAAAACAAAGATGTTACTGCCCCCCTTCAACACTTAGACCTTTGTCAGTTTGTGTCAGATTGTGATTATGAATAATTTTTTCTAATGATAGTGTTGAGCATATCAACATACTTTTCCCATAAGATGTGAATAATGCACCGGCTATATCAAAACATTTTACACCTATAATAAAAAGCCTATCTTAAAGTGTTGGTTAGGTAGGACAATAAAAAACACCTCCCTGCAACATTAGCAAACACTGACCCCAGCTCAGGTCAACCTAACATAAGTCTCAATTTCAATACAGGTTTATTTCTGGATGTATTTTCATCAGAATAATCAATACTGCCTCACAATATTGCTTTGTGGTCAGCAGAAGTAAAGCCATGATGCTTGACTTAATAGCAGGGCTTGAGTAGGGAAAACTTGTAAGTTGTACATGAAAGAGCCATCCATCAAAGCATACAAAGCAAAGAATGTTGAAAAGTGGATAGATTATGTGCTTTCATGATTGTGAATAATGGCTTCTAGTTATACACGTAAGTCATTGGTCATATATCTGAGGGACATCTGGGGATGGCATCCATTCATACCTTATAGAGGCCCCAAATGTTTCTATCCTATATCTAACAGTTACTATACATGTAGGTCCCTGAAACGGCACATGTATATCTGCGTACAAATTAATAATAAAATCATATACAAATGTACCAATGCATCTATCTACATAATAAAAGTAACCCATCATGTGTAAAAAGTGATATGTAAGCGTTATTTGATGTGACCACGCCCATGTTAAGCACACACCCACATGTAGGTTCCACCAGGTGTGTTATATCTTGTGAACATTGACTTAGACCTCCACACAAAGGCTGACCTACATGTGTAAACATGACCCTGATTATGTAACAAGCTAATAAATTGAACTGCTTTCCTGTTGCTTTGATATTTTAGGAAGCACTCTGGCCAATTTTAGGGAAACAACTAACTTTCATAGCATGCTATACAGTGTAAGAAACTGACAGATTATAAAGAAGTATGGATACATTTGTATCAGCAATAAAGGCTACTACATGTGGTAAGGACCACAGACAAGTTATAGAACAGATATTCTTCTAGATTTGAAGTTTGTACCATCTGGTGTAGGATATTGATAAGATGTCTGAAATTTAGGCTTATTCCCCCTAAAGCATTTCTTTGCATGCTTCTATTCTAATGGTCCTTGTAATGTATATGAGGCACATATCCTGGTAACCAATAGACAGGAATGCAGGTCAAGACCTTTAGGAGTCAACACCTTAAAAATCAATATTGACTCTCCTTAGGGCTAAATGTCACCAAGATAGTTTCATCAGATTGGGAGGCGAAAACAAATAACAGTCTTTAGTAAGAATGAAGCAAAAATGAATCAGTAAAACACACTGTTTTGACTTATTAGTAAAGTACCACAGTTTCAGAAGAGTTACAATGTACAACTAAATCTACACGAGGGTAATTCATTCAGCTTATAAAATAGCTTCTACTGCTGCAGTACAGTACCATTGCAAGGGGCTCAGATCAACAGCTGATGAATATTATAGAATAAGACCTATCTTACCCATTTGTTGAAGAGGCAAGGCAGCAGATAGTAAGAGTGATGCACCAGTTTGTATTTCCCTCGTAGCACAACAGGTGTCCACACCATCTTCCACATGCAGCTCTCACGGCTTTTCACTTTCTTCTAACAACTTTCACTTCTCCTGAAGGTACCTTTTCTTAAAGTTTTAAGACTCATGAAGGCTTGAACAGTTTGCATTTTCCATACGTTTTCAGTAGAGAAGCACTTAGCCTGTCAATAGACAGTGATTTATCCCATAAATAAAACTGTCAAGATGTTCTAGTCTAGTCTAAACAATGTCCGACTCCAAGTAATCACAACAAGAAAAGCTTGTTTCCAAGTCTGCATCAAAAAATAGTAGTATTGGTCCAGCAGTTGACATTCCCAAATCCACTAGTCAATCTGCTATCTTCAGGTAACAATAATATCCACAGATGTACCACTTAGAGGGACAAACACATGCATGGGCCCCACAGTACAGCCTTGTGCAGTAAACCCGGCCCCACATTTGTGACAAATGTTTGCTCAGTTCCAGCATAATGGTGACATATGGCAGTGAAGGGTGTACTACTAACATGTGGGGAGGGGTGTCTGCAGGGGAAATGTGAACCAGGCATGAAACCTAGACTTCCAGACAGACAAGGAACTAACAAAGGTCCCTCCCGCCCACTCATATCACTAAACAGATGATAGGCCATAGATTATGTTCCATCCTCCTGCTATCAGCATTACATACATCTTGTGCCTACCCTACTCCATTCCACAGGCATCTAAGGTACAAGTACACATATCCGACACAACAAGAGCTCCGTCATTAGCTTCAGTTATATCAACTGGCATCTGTAAATTATTCATTCAGTCAACAGAGAATGGCAATGGCACTTCTTCGTTGGAGAAGATTTCGTATAACAACTAGAGAAGACTGCGTGAACCAACGGTTGTGAACGTACGTAGCACGACACTGGTAATGATGCACATAATCTTCACATCGCCATGATCAAACATGGGATGGGGCCAACAGGTTATCATTGCTGACAGCAACTGCAGATGTTACGGTTGTATCTGGTCTTCAGAGTTGATCTTCTGAATCCAGTCCTATTGAGCCATCAGTCTTGAAGGTGTTCTCTGTTCCTGGACAGAAGACGTTTTCTTCCACACATCCACCTAAAAGTGACCCTCACCTGCTATGGCCCCCACCCTCTCAAGGACAACCTTAACTGATGACCATGATCCTGTCGCCATGACGATGCCCAATACATGGATCCTCATCCAACGCACCCCAGGAATTCACAACCATGTTACGTAACAGTACGACCCAGAGAAAGAATTCCCAGAGAAGCAGTTGTTTCCAAGCGGTGTATGGAGAAATATTATATCCTATAAACGTCTGGTGAGCCGAGCTATAACAGTGTTTACTGGGCTCCAGGGATGGAGGGCCAATACCCCACGCTCAAATTTCTGCCTTCTGCACTCAATAATCTAATAACCTGATAGGAAGGTATATGTAGCTGATGACGTTTGGAAAAAGAACTTCTGATAAAATTTGTCTTATTGCAATATTGTAACTTGAATATTTCATTTCAACTGAAACCGACCTGTTTTTGGTTACAGTTAATCATCTACGACACATGTTATATATACACACACTATACTCCGTGTACAGAATAAACATGTTTTTGAATCCTGCTGACGCAAATCTCAATTTAACACTCCTATGATTTCTAGGACTCATTCCAAGAAAACACTTAAGTTTTACGTCTCTGACAATAATCAGTGTTTGCACTGAAAAGCTTCCAGCGTGGACCATTACCCTGCTTTGTCACACATGGGAGGGTTTAATAAGAGGAGAGCCGAGTGATAGAAGATCAATTATGCCTGCTGAATGCTGATAAGGGAGATTTGTATGAAAGCAATACAGGCCGCTTCAGGCTAATGTTGGACATAATGTTCTAACTTATACATTATGTCCTTATAAAAAATTATGTATTACAAATCAAGACTGAAAACCATCCTTGGGGATTTTTTACTCCTATAAAACGAAGCTGCCTTCTCCTCAATGGTATGAGTCATCTATCATATCCTCTCCATACTTCCCATATCCAAGATATTATCAACATGACCCAGATTTCACAGGAGGGAAGCTCACTGGAGGAGTCAAGACAGGAACGCTGAGGAAATCTTGCAAATTCTCACACCAACACTATGTAATAATAGCATACATCATTTTGATAATTTACTTACAGAATGTCTGACAATTAGGGGAAAGCACAAGAGATTGTCCAGTGCCCACCCTTCACAAATTCACACTGGAATGAACGAATCCAAATAACTGCAGTATGACATTCCTTCACAAGGGGTCTCTTTTTTCAGTACCTGCTTACACCAAAAACCCAGTCCACAGTACAATATAATTTATGCGGTTTTCAAGTGTTTTGCACATCTTGTACAATCACACAACCTGACCAACTATAAAAACACACTCAACTTGAACTACAGTACCAGGATTAGAAAATCCAATTAGTTTTAAAATCTGCCAGAAAGTAAAAGAGAGGACATAATTACTTACACATAGATATTTTAACCTACACCAACAAATTCCTAGGCTATTGGCAGTAACAAAGTCATCAGCATGTTCTGTAATCAGACACAGAAACGTGTGGACTTAACAAGTGTGCAGCAGCCCCACCTATTTGCCCACAAACATTACTGCAGGCATGCCAATATCCCTTCTGTTTGCCCAGACAAACACAGACAGCCATCAGCCTTTCAAAGCCTGTTTCCAACAGGTTAACCAACCTAATGATGATAGATTGTACAAAAAAAACTGGGGCATAGTTCAACTTCTCAACACTGGATTGAAACATCTCAGTTCTATTGCTACAGTTCAAACATGCCATAACACTTTATGATAGAATTTAGGACAAGGAGGTTTCCAGACAACTCAGCTATATGTACACAGTTTACTGCTCTATCTGTGATTAAAAGTTTCATATTACACTGAGGGCAAAAGGTTAACTGTTGGTAATCATGTGTTGTCACCCAGGTGTGGAAGAATGACAGTGAGATAAGTCTGATGTTTTACAGGTGATATCTGTTGACACCTGTTTTTACAGGTGATCACAAATGTGAAAAGACTTGTTTACAATAATTTACCAATAACCAAAATGTATTTGGCACCAAGAATGTTACCTTAGCAAAGAGAAATTTGACTGCTGCCCTCCCCAGCTCCATTAGTGCAAAAATGGTATTGAATATGTATATCACATGTACGTCAAACCCACCCAGACCAATCTAGGAAATTATAGCCATAGTCTATATAGATTTCCATTTTGGCAGGCATGTCCAAAATCTGCCAAACAACAAAACCTAGTCCTCCTGCATACAGATTTGCCAGGCACAACTATTTGTAGCACATGTACTCATAATTCAGGTCTGTTCTCAAGTACAGGAAAACAACAACTGACAAACATTTAACAGATGACAACTCTTGTATACTCTACTATTTGAGTGTGCTTTTTCTCAAAATTCCTGTAATGTTACCTCATGGGACAAGGAGGATTCAACAAAAACCTGATACGGATATGTCATGCCACTTTGAAGTACAGCAGAGTGGAAAGCCTGACACCCCTGCTCACTGTCCTAGTGTTTGTTCTGAGGTGTAATGTAACCACACATCCCCACCCAGGTACATGCCTTAACATAATGGAGTTCAGTTTCACAACAAGGCTTCGCCATCAAACCAGTCCGGTCCATTTCTGCGGGTAAAAAAGGTGCCGTCATGGTCAGTAGTGATGAAAGATACCACAAATTTCTCTTGATGGGAGTGCAGACAAGCAAGCTGTTTTGGTACAGGTGTATGTCAGTAGACATATGACCAATATGCTTCCAATGATATCATACTGAGCCCAAAAGACTACATATTGCAAGCATTCTATGACTGAGGTATAAGATGAGTTTATTTTGCAACTTTCACTTCAGAAAATATTCATGCATTTTTTTACTTTCCTGAAAGACAGGTGTCAACAATGTATTTGTGATATTCTAGGTACATTTATACATGTATCTAACCTAGATATCTGTCTGACATGTAAAAGAAATTGTACTATCAAGCATAATAGGAACATATCAACAGGTGGCTCTGTCAGCAGACACCATTTGACCTTTGACCCATCAACTGAAACCCATTTATAGGTACATATATTATGAACACAAAACATAAATGCTACATAGAGTGCCTATATAAGATACTTTTAATGTGTGAGGAACAGCTGACTTAACACATTTATGCCAATTTCAACAAAAGTCATGTACAAGGTTCAGCATAATGGCTGTACTGCAAACATACTCCTGTGACAATGTGTGAGGAGTCTGGCTTTTGTCCAACACCCATTTTCCAAGCCTCTTAGACACTTTCCACTTCAAACAGTCTAAAGTCTAGCAGCATTTGTTGCCAGACTGAGCCATCAGTTCCTCCAGTATAAGTTACACTAATCACCACTTTTTACTGAATGGACTGATCCAAAAATCTGATAACCCTGACCTAAACAGCAAAGACCCGAGAGTGATGCCATTTTAACCATGGGGGTGTTAGAGAATAGACACCAATATAAATGGAAGTGAACTTGTGTACATTGACTTTGACTTGTGTACATTGAACTTGACATAGTTTAACAGTGCGTCATTTTTATTTAGGGCAGGTGCACTGTTCTTTAAGAGTCTACTGTACACACTTCTCTCAGCGGTGTCAAAGGCTCCATTCACAGCCATTGTCAACACAGACCACACACTGCTTAATGCAAAATCAACATACTTTGTACTGGTAGCAGCTCTCCTGCCAGAAATTTGGAACCAGGTCAGAATGTATGGAAAAGCTCACCCATAGATAACCAGGTTTCCCAAACACACTGCCAAGTGACTTTAACAAAATATAATGTCTAAGCTGAACCTGGAACAGTGAAGTAGTGTCTTCTCACACCACCGTGATTTGGAATTAGGCAGCTTCGTAAAATAAAACAAACTGCAAGCAAAATTTGTTGCCATGGCAAAAGCAGAGCACTCCTTTCTGCTTGGTGCTCTATATGCAGAAG